TAATGTAAATGCCGGCAAAATCTTGGAAAACATCATTACATTTCTTGGGCAATCAGAAAGCAATTTGTCGCCACTTGGATGGCTTCAAGTGCCATCATGAAACCAACGTATCAAACACCATCCCACAACCAATATTTTCTGAATATGGCATGTGATCCGAGATATTGTTGCGGTTTAATCTTACCATTTAATCGGTCACAACTCTTGACTATATGGTTTGATTGAGCCGCACCAATATCGCGTGTCTCTTCATGACCATTGCGTTTTTCCTGAACCCAAATCAAACCAAACCGACCTAGTAAATTTGAGTCGAATTTATTCGGTCAGTTTGGTTTGGGTTGGGGGAAAACTTGAAGGTTAAGATTCCTGAACCCCTGTTCAACATACGGTTTGCGTCCACTAGCCAAGGCTTTTTCAAGAGAAGGAATGGCTATAAAGCAATGTACAACTTTCATTTCAGAAAGTACAAGCCACTAAAAATGTGTTTACCTCTTTTTTTGCACTTTATGGTATCATTTGACCATCCAAAACAATCTTTCTAATAAACAAAAAAACTGCATTACTTAATTTACCATACAACTCATAAATGCATCAGTTGGTCATCAATTTTGCAATTAATAGCTAGCTGAATCTAGTAATGCATCCATAAAACACAAGTCCACCACCTGCTACTGATCTTGACCAAATTTATTGCCAGAATTCAAATTTTCATCCAGGTTTCAAATCTAAAGCACCTAAACTTTCAATGATAAAGCTAACAACTATTTTTGAGCGTTCAAACATCGAGAGAAGGTAAAAAGAGAAAGTTAAATAAAAGATTCATATGTGAATTGCTGAAAAAATCTCAAAATCTATTTGAAGATGCATATGTGAATATGGGTTAAAATATGCAAATTCAAATGGAATTTTTCAATAATTCACATATGCATCTTCAAATGGACTTCAGTAATTCACATATGAATATTCTATTAGCGTTCCCTTCCTACCTTCTATACGATAGGCCTTCTTATCTGACATCTTTTATCCAACTAGTTAACAGCATTATAGAAAGTGTCCTTTCGTATCTCCCTGTCAAACTTTAGATTTTCTAATCAGCAGAAAATGACATAAAAGAATTGAAAACAAGTTTTAAGCCTTATGCACTGAATTCTTGCATGCTCAATTGCTAGCATTTCAATGCCTACCGTTTCTATTCAAGAACCTCACATCATCCAGGAAAATGGTCATGAAAAAAGTCGGCAATCGACAGAACATGAATCAGATTAACAGAAAGTCATCATATTATGCTGGAAAGCCATGGAAATCCAAAAGCACTTTTTTTCTGCTAGAAAACAACACAGGAAACAGTTCACTGGAGAAACAGAAGTGGTCCAAAACAAGTAGCTTTGATCATAAATTGTCAGCAGGCCACTTTGGGAGCATATGCATTGTCCTAGTGGGGCTATTAACTTGCTTGCTAGTAGCTAGTACTCATAAATTTAACGATAGAGATCATGATAATTGAAGATATATAATTATGATTATGATTATGATGATGATCATGATGACTATCCAGGCTGCGCCGACCAATGCCTAGTAATGCAGTGCGGAATTTATTGCTCAATTCAGCACCATCAAAAATAGGCAAAAAGTACTAGATTTTAAATATCATCATCCTAATATTCCAGATTCAACTGCAGTTTTTGCACTCATAATGGTTTACATTCAATTAAAATTCTAACCCCACATGTAACCTGTTCATCTCTCTCTCTCTCTCTCACTCTCACTCTCACCTCCTCTGTGTGTGTATGTGTGTGTGAGAGAGAGAGGATATAGAGAAATATGTAACTGATGATACCAATAAGATCTGTTCCTGAAAAACCAGTGATGTGAGTTCCCAATTGCATAAAAAAAGACACTAAAAGTTGTGTGTAAATTAAGGTTTAACATAGCTAGACTGGCTAAATCTAGAAAAAGGATACCCTAATTAAATCATGAGTTGCCAAAAGTAGGTAGAGATCGTGTTTTGAGGGTCGAACACAACCTTATAACGCAATTGATAATAAGACCTCAAGATTTGTGGTGAAGGTACTTCTAAGTAGTAGCTCTTTTTTGGCTATGTTAATATTGCACTACCCATAGAAGAGCACATAGCAAAGGCTTAACATAGCTAGACTGGCTAAATTAAGGTGTGTGTAAATATTGCACTACCCATAAAAAAGACACTAAAAGTTGTGTGTAAATTAAGGTTTAACATAGCTAGACTGGCTAAATCTAGAAAAGGGATACCCTAATTAAATCATGAGTTGCCAAAATTAGGTAGAGATTGTGTTTTGAGGGTCGAACACAACCTTATAACGCAATTGATATAAGACCTCAAGATTTGTGGTGAAGGTACTTCTAAGTAGTAGCTCTTTTTTTGGCTATGTTAATATTGCACTACCCATAGAAGAGCACATAGCAAAGGCATAAAAAGAAAGATTACACACCAGACTAACTTGCGCTTTCGACTGAAATGACTGTAAATCTTATGATATATTTCCATAACTAACAATGGTATCAAGAAAATGGTTCATCTTTTCCTATAAAAAGGATAGAGTGGCATATACCTGTGTTATACTTGTCTTCTTAAAATCCATCATATGTGATTACAGGTTCAATTCACAGACATTCATCTAAATGCATAGCGGAAGAAGAAATGGTGATGATACAAGTTCCAAGTTAATAGTATATCAGAGTCATACAGCAAGAACACTTTTTTCCCAATTCTCGAACTAGATGCCTTGGGCTGAAAAAGGGGAAAGAAGGAACGGATTTGATGGACCAAGGCTTTGAGAGGGTTGGGGATGGAAATCCTTGTGCATAGCCCTTATTATGCATTTAGCAAGAAGACCGTTAGCATAACTTGAACCCGTGATATTTCAGATATGAATGAACCAAAAGTTGTTGAATATCTTTCCAAATCCGAGTTTGTGGGAACATGTGAAGACGTCATGGGGATAATGAAAGGATGCTACAATACAAAAGTTGCAACCGATCAAAAAGACAACATGCAACTTGGATATGCATCACCTACTACTATGGCGAGTTATGTTCTGAGTTGAGACAACTCACATAAGGCTATCCTTGGAAGTTGGAACCGGGTTAGTTATGTATGCAACATGAGGTTGCATACTAGACCTGACGGGTTTTAGTGTCTTTTCTATGTTACTTTGTTAGTTATCTTCTATGCCATTTTACACAAAGCTCTCCTAAGCCCAAGGCACCTGTAACTCCAACACCATTTTCCATTAATTTTTTTGGATTTGCTTTATAACTACATTATTTATTAGTGGACTTTTCTAGGTGTGGCCTCCACGGCTCCACCTGTGGTTCCTCCCGTTTTGGGTTTCCAGGTTTCCACATAAATCCCAGTGTCGTCTCCTAGCTCTATCGCTTTATTATATTTCTCCAAGTTAATTGCTTTATGATTCACCATGATTGATTCAGGATTTGATTTATCTGCCCCATGTGTCTAAACATGTTGATCATTGCGATGTTGACTTTTATGCCTAGTTTGACTTTGGATGAACATTGATTTATGATTTGGCAACAGTATCAATATTTAAAATAGGTGGGTTTTGATTCTGATAACACATTTGGGTTTTCATTTGGAGCTAGTCATTATCACATCTATGTGATATGACATGCCAATGTTAGAAAAGGGTACGAGATTTCTAATATGACAAGTGAAAATGAGAAGATTATTGATGATTTAAAGAACATGAATGCTATAGGTATGATGAGGAAGACTTGGTATCCAACTCAAGCCAATGTAGCAGAAGAGAGGGCAGGTGATCTTATGGTCATTTTGGCTTTTCATTACTGGTGGACTTTGTTGGGGCGGTTTGGTTGGTTTTCCATTAAGTCATGTATGGATAAAGCTGACGGTGTGGATCAATTTGTTTGCATAGATTGAGAGGGTTTTTGTTTGGGATGGTTTTTTCATAGATGGAATGAGCGTATTTTCTGAATTGGGAGGGGCAGGTTTGGAATAAACTTGACTTTTGGCATACCCCCCCCCCCTCCTTTAGAAGCTTACCGAATAAGCCACTACCAAGCAGTCATGTAGAACTGACCAAATAAACCGTGAGTCCCATTAAGCTATTAACAAACAGACCCTCAGTGGTCTCCTCCACCCGTGGTTTTCTCCTGTTTTGGGTTTCCACATAAATCTAGGTGTCGTCTCCTATCTTTGTTGCTTCATTATGTTGCTCCGAGTTCATCGCTTTATGGTTCGCCATAACTGATTGATTGAGGATCTGACTTATTTTCTGCATCAAGAACTCTTTGAGTGTTCAAACATGTTGATCATTGGGACGTCGACTTCTACACCTAGTTTGATTTTGATTGAGCATTGATCTAGGATTTGATCTCAACTAGAATTGTATACAGAAACTATCCGGAATAAATAACGTGCCTACTTGGAGTAAACATGTGAAACCAAGGATGATAAGATGAAGATATAAAAGGGGCAGATTCTGCAATTCCTTTTATTAATTATACCCTTTGACCTTGCTATGTAAATAGTTCAAACATATACAAACAATCTACTCCATAACTTGGTGCAAGATGATGATTATGAGTTAATGGTCCAACAAGTTTTTGGCCATAAAGGCTGCTACTCTGACCAGAAAAACCTCTTTGCAAAATGCAAGGGAAAGACTAAATGATTGCCCTACCCAACCCTCACAAAACAAAGGAACATGGTGTACCAGGATGACCTTTTACAGCTAGCATGTGGGGGCAAAGAAACAAACTTGATGAAAACAGGATTCCATAGTTCACAAAAAGAAACTAGAATTATTTTAACATGAAAAATTAAAGGCAAAAATGCAAAATCTTGTAAAAAGGCTGCATTGTTTCTGGTTTCAAGTCCTGTCTTTCTATTGCAACTCAGGTCATAAACTAACAAATAAAAAAATGTGTCCCACCTAGCTAATTAACAATTTTATATAATATACGAGACAAAGAACCCCAGTGCAACATCCCGTGGAATCATATTAGCTTCAAAAAGACATTCTTGGCAGAAAGAACGCCACCATATATGTATGTATTAGTAATAAGCAAAACTGGATCATAGACACAGCTGTAACAATTATACATGAACATAGGAGGACACATACCTATCTCCAGAAAAGCAATCAAAATGGCACTCTTCCATTAAAGCCACCAAATGCTTACTGAAGTATATGCTGCTTTATATTTCCCAACTAAAACTTTTAGGGATCACCGACACTGATAGAACAACTACAGCACATTTCACATTTCCCCCAACTTTTACTTCAACACCCTTCTTCTACTCGCTTTAAGATCACTAGGGATGATAGATACATTATCTACATATATCCCACCTTTAGAATGTGTGCAGTCTATCTGCTTCATTGAGAATCTGACTTCAGTAGCAAGATCAGATGCACTTACAATGAACTCGCCTACTTTATACTCCATCCAACAACCACGTTTTTGATTTCCATTTGCCTCGTCTTTATCACAATCATCTAAAAAACATTCGGTAGATGCTTCTTGACCATCTGAAGTAGACAACTCAAATTTAACCGGCTTTATGTCCCACCCATGGGTGTGTTCGAAATTACAAACACGTCTCCCCAATCTTTTGGAGAATCGTCCCAGATGTATCCTGAATGATAATGTGTATACGTCAGCTGGAAAAGGGAACTTCAGTGAACCATCTACTTCAAACCACCATATTTGCTGCAAATATGCCGCGATGTTAAACCTGCAATGTAGTAGCAGAATCAGTACATAATTCGCTCTTAACAACCTATCTGTTGGCTCATGGCTGTAAGAAATAAGATGAAACATTTTAAATAAAAAATCCCTGAGCCCACTTTGAAGAAAAGTCATTGACTAAATAGAAAGTAAGCATGCAGACGTTATTTCCTATGAGACCTGAGAATTTTACAATTGAATCTTACATTTTATTGAGAAATAATACATCAATTTATACAAACTAAATTGATCTATAATTGGAAGCTAATTAAATGGGAATTAACTAGTTTCCTAATTATGTTGATACACTAAATCCAGCCGCTGTATAGTCAATACTGCTCCTCTAACTGGAACACATAGATCATATGCATCAACTTTGTTACAAATGAAACCAATGCAAGAAGCTCTGAGTGGTTTAAAGAATATGTCTGCTAACTAATATCTTTTCTCTGATAAAGTGACAAGTCACAATCGACCTTTGAAGAGCTCTGTTCTCTTGTGAAACGGAGAAAAGACATGGACACAACAAGTACAACCAAAGACACATGAAGGTAGAGCGGCTGTTCCCTAGAAGACCCCAAAAAGGTAGAGCGACTGTTCCGTGAAGACCTGACACTTACCCCAAAAAGGTAGAGCCGCTGCTCCCGTGAAGACCCCCGGCTTGTGCAAGAGTATGAGCAAACAGGTAGAAGGCACAAAGACTAACTAATGATGAAAGCAACATAAGAGAAATAAAAAGAACAAGTACAAGTAGGTACACTGACAACATACGGAAAAGATACGTCCAAAAACACAACTCTATCCTAAGCTGCGAACCCTCTTCCCCGCACTCCAAGCGGTCAACTACTACAGCCACAGTTCTCCATACCTAGTCCACTACCATGGTCCTCCGTCTCCAAGTACTCCTATCAGAGGTCATATCCTCGGAACGGTCTAAGGCCACGATGTCCAAGATTAATAGGCCAAGTCAGAATATACAAGCCAGAATCTTGGTAATGAAGGAAGAGATTTGCTCAGACAACACCTTGAGCCCTCGATGTGGATCCATGACGAAAGTAAGATGGTAAGTGTGTGACATCAATAATATAGAAAGCAAACTAGGGTTACCAGAAAGATGATCTCAAACACCCAATAGAATTACTCGACCAAGGAGGTGTAAGCACCAAGGAATCAAAAATGAACCAATTTACACTCTAACTCCTATTCTGAGCTTCTTCCTGAGGATTCCCATATGCAAGTGCCAAGAGAACCAGCATACTATGTCCTCCCGCACCATATCAGGCAGTAGTGTGTTTTCTGGTCAACAATGAGGCATCAGTCTCCTCGGTTATTGTTGGTCTTTCGCTAAATAAGCAAACTCGAGGGGTAGGGAGAGAGAGGGAAATAGTTAAAAACTTGTTTGGTTAGATTTGAAAAGAGAAGGGTGAATAGAGAGGAAAAATGAGGAGAAGTAGCACAGAGTTGAATGTGTGTGATAGGGCATGTATCTACCAACTAATAGTTTATATATACCATTTCGAGAGAAATATGCATAGTGCAACCTGCATATAAACATAAACATCCACAGACAAGGCTGAACAGAATATTTATAAAGATACAATAGACAGGGTACGGCTGAACAAAATGAACAGGTATACCAGCATATATATAATGTATAAGCCATAACTTCAACTTTGGCAGAGTAAGGTAGTATCTAACAGCATAGACAACAATAGCAAATTAATTTAGTGTAAACTTTAGCCCGCACTTGATTAAACAATTCCAAGAAGGTCCAAAATGATTCATGGTTGTATGCTTCTCCATGAGTCCTGACCCCTTACAATTTATTCAGAAATGGGGGCATAAACATAAAAATGGGCATTATACAGCAAAGATGAAGTCCATACAGCAAGTTGTCATCATGAACTTTCTGTTTATAATTGACCCATTGATACTATCAGTTGTGGTCTTCGTATAAACGTGAATAATACATTGTCAATGTCTTGATGAACAACAATATCAAAATCTATAATATTATCCATCAAATATGAACAAAAGAACAAAAATAGCAAGAACATTCCAGAAACCAGCAAAAGGGTCAATTGCTAAAACACCAATAGAAGTTGCACCAACAAGTAGTAGGTTAAAAGAGAGAAAGAACAGAGATACAAAGGAAGATCAAGTACTCCAGAGAATCTGTAACGGGCGTCCCTCAATTGAAGGAAATTAACAGATTTACATGTCCATTCCATATTTTTGTTTATTTTTCCTGTTTCCTTTTACTTGATAAAGAAAATCACACTAATTTTCCTTCCCTTCAGGTGTAAAAATTGGATTCTAACTTGAAACTCTGGTGCAACGTTCCGATGCTATGTATGTGTAGTTTATTGAGTTTTCACATCATACACTCGAATTACTTTAAAACAACAGTAAGTACAAAATCATATGGAATGAATCCAACCTAGATTCTTCGGTAGGAACCCAATTCCAGTATCTCCGATCTTCTATTCCCGTTATTGCCATTGCCTTTGTGGAGATTGACATGCACACTTTTCCGGTAACCCTATCCAACCACACTTCCTGCAATATCCCATACTACAATTAACACATCACACAAGACTAAGCTTACTCAAACCCATTACTCTACTTGCATCATGTTAGCATTCAAGGACAATACATTCCACTTAAACACAGATGCATTACTTATAATTCTATATATATATATATATATATATATATATATATATATATATATATATATATATATATATTCTACGGTTTCAGAAAAGAAGTAATTTCAAGAAACCCAGAAATACAAACTTTTAACAAAAAAAGGAACATTAATGATTAGAGCATAAAACCCATTCCCCAAAGCTAGAACTCGAAAGAAATCCAGTTTAGATTTTGAACTAAAACAGGATTCAATTCCAATCGCCTACAAAATTATATAAATTCAACAGAACAATAGAACTGGAAGCCCTAAACACATTCATCAATCGATATAAACCGAAAGGAAAAATAACGAATTGGAGGCGCTTGCCTTGTTGCCGTCGTCAAATGGGACAGGCCGTGAGAGGAGGGCAAATATGTCTTTTTTACAGAGGTTTTGGTACCTCTCAGGAGGCATCAGGTCCAACAGATCTTGGTAGTTGTGTGGAAGCTTCGATTCCCATACGGTATCCGATGAGGCAGCGCCGCGGAACGCACGGTTGAGTCTTGCTAGGTTACATATTTCCGGCGGCGTAAGATTCATAAACACACACGTAACGCAATCCTCCGGTATATCCCCGAGCCCCGGTCCGTCGCCGGTGGTCGATCCTCCTTCGGTCAAATTAGACAACGAGGCTCCCATACAAATAATGTAACTTCTTTTTATAAACAAATTTTTTGTGAAATCGTCGACTGAGCATGTGACAGTTGGTGGTGGTGGTGGTGGTGGTGGCGCGGGCGGTGGTAGGTGGTGGCGGGAGAACGAGTGTGGAAGAAGGGACCTTTTATGATTCGAGGGAAAGGTGAGTGTCGATGACAGCCCTTCCCCTCGGGTGTTCTGGATTTGTGTGTTATTTTAATATGTTTGTACCAAGACAAAGATTTGTTTTGGAATAAAAATGTCGGCCTTTTTCTACGAACAAATATCAGACCAAATCATTATGTACCCTTTTTTGTCACTTACTTTTATTAATTTAATTACTTCACTTTTTTATTTATTTTCAGACACTTGTTTCAATATCAATTAGAATAAGTTGAAAACTTGGGAAAATAATTAAGGGAATTACATAAAAATCTGATTGATTTCGGTTTAATTTCTTTTTAGGAATCGAATTTTTTTTTTTTTTTTTGATAGGGGGAAGAGGAGGGATACTGTAAGGAAAAAACAATTCTCTCCGCATCACCCCCACCCATCATTTTCATCCAGCATTGAACAGAAAAATAACTGGTTGTTAATGAGGGGAGGCGGAGGATCACCGTCGTACATAGAAAGGGCAGGGCAGGGCGGGGCGGGGCGGGGGTTTAGTCGACAGAGGCGTAGTTGAAGGTAAAAGCAGTCGTCGAAGGTGGTGTCATTGGTAGGGGGGCGGAGTTGGGGAGCTAGAGAGTGGGATGGCATTAATATTTTCAAACTAATGACGTGTAATTTTAGTTTATATTAAAAAAATAAAATTTATATGTCAATTTTTGCGAGTTCCACATTAATGGGTTATCGGGTAAACTAATCTTTTGCATAAATGAAAAGTTTGTCTCACATCCTAAAATCAAGTTTTGAAAATTGGTTTCCTGAAATAAGAATGATGACGTTTTTTTTCAATTTAATCTAATTTTCTCAAGATAAAATATTACTTGGTAAATAAATATTTGAGTTAATTACAAATTTGGTCCTTGTGGTTTACATAAATTAACAAGTAAGGTCCCTCAAGAGAATTATTAACGAGGGGCGTCCTTATAGTTTTATTTTTATAACAAATATGGTCCCTCTTCTAACTTCTTCAGCTAAGTTTCCGTTAGTAAGGGGCAATTTTATCTATTCACCTTCTTGGTCTCTCAACTTTCATTTTCAGTAACGGATTTGATTCCTCAAACTACTTTTCATTTTATAACATAAATGGTCCCTCAAACTATTTTCTATTGTTATAACAATTCAATCCCTCAAACTATTTTTTATTTTTTATGACAAATTTGGTTCTTCCCTCAAACTATTTTTTATTTTCTATGACGGATTTGGTTCTTCCCTCAACTTCTATTTTTATGATTAGTTTCTCCGTTTAATCAATAAAATTTGATGGCACAAAAATATATTTTGAAATTTAGATTTTGCCATTAAATGTTTTATTTTTTTCAAAACATTACTTGCATGAAACCCTAAGCCCAAATATTTTTCAATTTTGAATAAATTTTGTTTTAATTAGTTGAAAGTTAAATTTCTAAAAACAAGTTTTAAAACTAAATACATAACAATATATTAGACAATCTATACTATATTATAAAGCATTTGACAAAAAAAAACTCCTAAAACCATTTCTTATGCATCAAGTACTGTTTATTAATGCATATTACTTACAATTAAAAATTACGAGTAAATTTTTCGTAAGTACAACTTATTGAAACTCCATTTTAAATTCGTGTAATTAACTGTAGATAAACATAATCAAATATATGATAAACATCTAATTTAAATATAAAAAATCAAAAATATAATTAAGATATTCATTGAGTTTCAACACACAACACTTAATTGTTATCTTTATAAAAAAATTATATTATTAAAGCGGAAATAAATTACTTTGTCATTAAATATAAATTAAATTACAATAAAAATTTGAATTAGATAAATTTCACATAAATTTTGAACTTTTAAATAGTGAATTTGATATTAATATCGACATATTTTTCAAAATTTTACAAGATATTCAAATTTATATTTTATCCAACATAAAAACATTATCGATTATCAAAACCACATAAAACTATATTACAATATTAACAGAAACAAAAAATAAAATAAAATACTAAAATCAAAATGTATCATGCTGCATTATGCGAGTACCCTTCTAATAATATATAAAAATATTAAATTTAAGCATTATACTAAAACTAATTAATATACAAAACTAATATTACTGTTAATTTAGATATAAAAATATAAATTTAACCCATTTATTTATATTAACCAATATACACTAAAAATTGTTATAGTTATGTTATAATTAATAAATGTATAAAAATATTATAATTTAGCATTAATCGATTGAAGACTATTAGTTTTGCTATAATGAATAGTGTTACATATTAACAGATTTTAATAACACTAATAATTTTAATTGGTTAATGCTAAATTATATTATTATTAATTTATTAATTATAGTCATTTTTAGTGTATATAATAGTTAAATTTATATTTTTATATCCTATTTAACTATAATTTATGTGTTTGTATGCTAATTAGCTTTATTAAAATATTTAAACTATGCTTGTATATCTTATCATTTAATTGGGTATTTAGTTTTAAAACCTTGTTTTAATTTTCAACTAATTAAAACAAAACATTTATCAAAATATTTCATCGCAAAATCTAAGTTTCAAGTTTTATTTGATTACTTTGTTAATTATATTTAGAAGATACATGTTTGTACCCACAAAATTTTATTAATTAAAAAGGGGGATCAAATTATAAAAGTAAGAGTTGGGAAAGGACCAAATATGTTATAGAAATAAAAAATAATTTGAGATTTTGAGGGACCAAATCTGTTATAAATAATGTAAATCAATTTGAGGGATTAAACATGTTATAAATGAAAAGTAGTTTGAGAGACCAAATTCATTATTGAAAACTGAAGTTGACGGAGAGGAGGATAAAGTAGTCTTTTTAATTTAATTTTCTTTTGGTTTGTTACATTTTTTTGGTTTCTTTTTTAGTATTTTTATCATTTTCATTTAGAAAAACTATATATTTTTTGATAAAATGGTTTATGATAAAATAATTAAAATATTTTCAATACAACTAAACTTTTTATATTTTTGTTTATTGTAGTTTTAGTTTTTTATGAGCTTGATTTTTGCACTAACATCGTTCAAATGCAAGTCGTTAAGTACCCTCACATAAGAGTATTTTAACTATTGTTTCAATAGAGACCAAAACGTTATATTTTTATAGAATCAAACAGTTAATTATTAATAGGTTATTTTTACCAAACAAATTTATTTAATTTTATTAATACGACGTACAATTGTTTGGTCTCATACATTCAGTCATACCAAACAAATGTATGTCTCATATAGATCTGGTAGAATAAGTTTATAAAATTATACGTTCTATTTTAGTAAAATAGCGTACATTTATTTGATAAAAATAGACTAATATAGTTAGTTGTCTGGTCCTACAAAAAATTTATTCGTTTAGTCCCCAACGAAGAAATTAAAATACCATCATGAGAGAGGTACTCAACGATTTGTATTTGAATGCCGCTAATAGTATAACTTAAACTAAAAAGAAACTAAAACTATGATGATATAAAATATAAAACAACGAATTGTATGAATTTTTTTTAATTATTTTATCATAGACAATAACAAAACAGTATAATTGTCTTTATATATTAATTCTTTATCGAAAAAATATGTATTTTGATTAAATCAAAAAGAGGAAAATACTAAAAAAAAACCAAAAAATATATTTAATAAACCCAAAAGAATAAAAAAAATCAAAAAGACTAAAATACCCTTAAATTATAATGATATAATTTGTAAAATATTGACCTTATGAATGTGCTAAATAGATTTGCATTTTTTTAATTTTGAACTTAAAAAATAAAAAAAAAACATAAATATATTTTTGTTATGATAAATTGAGATAAGTAAAGGGGGCAATAAGTGAAAATTTAGATGGTTGAATATGACAAAAGTCAAGTATAAGGGGTATGTGTGTGAAATGCGTAAGCACAGGGGGTGCATATGTAAAATACATCATGGCTGAAAAAATTAACACGCCCAGTGGGACTCGAACCCACAATCGCCTGATTAGAAGTCAGACGCCTTATCCATTAGGCCATGGGCGCTTTTGTTTTTTACTTAGAAAATAATTTATTTAATCATAATAATTCTAACGGGCCTGTCAAACGGCTTGATGTTTCTGGCATCGATAAGTTCCGTCTACTTAACGGTTCTTCAAACGATCTTTTCCTCGAACTTAACGTCGTCACGCTGTTCCGACTTTCACTGCGAATTCTAACCCTAACCCTAACGTCCTTCCGATGGCGTCGTGTGACGACGAGTTTACGCTTATCGGTGATGACACCACCAACAGCCACCATACCAATGCTACTTTCCATCACCACCTCTCGGCGGCCGCACAGTTATTAAAGGCGCCTGCGTTTAACGCACCACCACCTCCACGGCCAACACAGGTTGCACAAGCCAATGGCGAGGGTTACATTGAAGACGCGTTCGGCTCACAGCCTATGGTGGTTGTTACGTATGAAAACGAGTCTGATCCGAACAGATCTGGGGTTAGCGGTGCAAGAAACGAGAAACGGAGCGACCGCGACGAGCTTAGCGACGGAGGAACGCCGTATAGTTATAATAAGAAAGCGAGGATAACGGGTTCTTCATCAGGTGGTGGCGGAGAGTATAGAAAGGATAGAGAGGAGTGGACTGACGCGGCGATCGCGTGTCTGTTAGACGCTTATTTGGAGAAGTTTTTGCAATTAAATCGTGGGAATTTGAGAGTTAGGGATTGGGAAGAGGTGGCGGCAGTCGTGAGCGAGCGGTGCGAGCATCAGTCAAAGAGCGTAGAGCAGTGTAAAAACAAGGTAGATAATTTAAAGAAGAGGTATAAGTTGGAGAGACAGCGGATTATGAACAACAATGGGGGGAACACCACAAGCCATTGGCCTTGGTATAAGAACATGGAGCAGATTGTTGGGAATTCATTGCCCTTGAAGGCTGTGTTGGACGAAGACAAGTCTGTAGGTGGATTGAATAGCTCCGGAAGACAATCCAAGAGGTATACACCTTAATCGCTGCAGTCTTTATTTTTCACCCTCCTTCGAAATTTCAGCATTTCTGAAGAGCGTAAGAGAAAGAGCACCTACTGCATTGACTACTAAAAACACGTCTGGTTGACAGATTCCCTGAATTGATAAAACTCCATTACAGAATTGATCCTACTCAAAACTTTTAAATAACACATCTGGGTATTTCTATTTGGATGGTCTTACAACCATGAACTCAAATTTAATGATCTAATGATTCTTCTTTTCAGTTGCATGATCATCCTGCAAAATTTTCTAAGATTTTAACCCTTTGGGTAGTTTAGAAAATGCTGACTATGGCATCTCTCCGAGCCTACACTGGCTTAGCTGACTGTATTACCACAGTCAACTTGAACAATTAGAACTTGACCCAATCTTTAATTCGGTCCTTTTTAGCTATACATACATTTTCACAAATAAACTGCCCAAGACTAACGAGAAATTTTCGGGATCAATGGTTGGACCATGCAAACTAGAAATACTTTTTCTTGGATAAATGAACAAATTACTCGATATATTTCCTCCCTTCCCGGTCCTCTCGCACTAGGGAAAGGTCCTCTCAATGCTCTAACGCCCACCCCGGGGATGGACGGAACTGTCTCATGACGTTCTGAACATTGTCTTGAAAACCGGTATAGTTTGCTATCGAGGGTTCCAATCCCTCTCTCTCCTTTTTTGCTTGTTGAATAGATTTGTTTCTTTATTGGATTGGTTTTGACCGGATGGTTTCATCATCATAAAGAAAGGGAAGTGGCTCGGCTGTTCCGCCCAAGGTTCAAAATGGTGTAAGGGGTGGCGTGGCGGCGAGGTCAAGCCTCAAGCCTTACACGCCACGGCGAGGATGCGGCGTTTTTCAAGGTGTGATATAAGGCGGCAAATTCGTATGTCATATATAGGATTATATATTTACATATATGTTTTCCATATATTATCTAATTAGATAATAATATGAAAAACTGTATATTCATATTAGACGAAAAATCATATAGATTATTATTATAAAAATAGTTTTTGATTAAATATTTAAAATAGAACTTATAAAAGTAATTTTACAACTTTGTTTAAATCATGAGTCCATCAAGTTTATAAATTCGTGAAATTGTGAATGATGTGATTAGATAAATATATAAAAGTATAAAATCTAAAGTTAAAAGCGTGAAAAAACAAAACATAAAAAAATTAAAAAAACTAAAAAGAATCACGTCTTACAAAATTGGTGGCGCGCCTCACAGCGCCATGGCGTGAGCCACGCCTTACAGAAACGCTATGGGCCTTTTTGAACACTGATTCCGCCTAGCCAAGCCAGAAAAATGGATTAAAATTAAATATAAATGAGTTGAAAAAAAGAACATTAGCTTGTTTTGGTCTATGTAGTAGGACAAAAAAACCCTCTTCTAGCAAGATGTTTCTCAAACATTTGCCAACTAGGTTTTGGTCAACTTTTGATCCATGAAGGAGGTAGGAGTAGTAGAATGAACTCCCTTCTTTTTATTCATAGAAACATCAACATTAGTATTGGATGACACACATGTTTTGCAGTAACTTGTAGGATGAAATATGATAAACACAAGGGGTTGGCCTAGTGTGTACGGCTTGAGACCTTGGTTTATGAGGGCTCAGGTTTAAATTTGTTATCAACTTCTTAGGAGTCATTGGCAATAAGGCCTAAAGTATGATATACTTTTGCCTCTTAATTTATAAACTTAATATTTGACAATATCAACTATAAGTTTCAAGATATCTGATGATGAGTTATGGAGAGAGATGGGAGTTTGAAGTGCTTCTGGGTTTCGACTAGCTGCATATGCAAATAGCATGTTGTATTGGAACCATCAGGGATCTTCATGGCTGATGGAATTTACCCATTTAGAAGTCTGATCAATTTAGTCAGACTGATGAGATTTGCTGAACGAGTATGTCATTCTACGTTTCTGCAGATATACGACAGCAACTTCTAGCCCAAGTGGTCAAATTACTCATATGGAGCCAAAATTAGTGACCAATGCAAGATGGCGGAGAGTTGTTTTTAAAATTAGTGGTTCTGCTCTGGCTGGAACTGGTTCTCAGAACATTGATCCAAAGGTATATTTAATTCTACAAGGTCCATATGGATATTTTAAAAAGTCTAGAAGGTAAATTTAGTGGTCCCTTGGATGTGTCACCCTTAATATCCTAAATTCAAAGTTGGTTTATTTTAATCTATAGGTGGCAATGCTGATTGCTAGAGAAGTGTCGATGGCTTGCCAAATCGGTGTTGAGGTATTTTTTAATTTCAGATGATTGTCACTTCAGTAACATGTGTACTGTCTGATCTGACCTGCAACATTCAAGCCTCCTCATTCAGGTGGCGATAGTAGTTGGTGGCCGCAATTTCTTCTGTGGGGACACATGGGTAACAGCTCCTGGTCTGGATAGAAGTACTGCTCATCATATTGGGTGATGTTTTTATTTCTTCTTATGTGCTAATTATAACTCTTCAACAAGAATATCCCTCTACATCTTACTCCCTTTAGATCTACAGTAACTTGCTGTATGGGATTGAGTAAATGTTACCTAATGCCAGGAAGGATCACTAGGATCTCTTAGGCACTTTATCCTTGTCATAGCTCCGCAATTAAAGAGGCCAAATGCTTGTATGCAGTTATAGACTGAATGCATGTTTGATTAATGGACATAGCTATAAGCCTATTTTAATGCCAATATTTCCACTTGATTTATGATGGAATATGGATTAGAGAAACCTGACTAAAGAAAGCAAGCACAGAATGTAACTAAACTTATCTTTTGAACAATGACTGAAGAAGAATATATAGACATGAAAATCAGGACATTTTATTGTTTATGAATAAAGATCTCACGTGAAGGGGGGAGTGGCGAGGAAGGCCTACATTGAGAATGAATAGAGCAACATGAGTCTACTGTTGTCCTTTTATACCAATTATGGGAGGCAACATCCTGGCATATAGAATGAAAGCTGTCTATATGACGACCAGCCCTATGTTTCAAGAAAGCAAGTTTGTGCCCTGTGTTTGGAAGATAATCTGTGAAACATATAGAATTAGAAGTTCACCATATCTTGTAAACCCAAATGTGCACTAAACTTCTGTTTATAGTCTGGATCGGTCAATAGTCATATTAGCTGTTGGAACCTTTGCTAACGTCATGTCTATGTCAACAATAAATTCCAATTTGGGGTGATCAAACAACAGAGAGCATTTTGGCAGGGTGTCTTCTTAATGCGTCGTAGGATTTATAAGCTGCATTTTATTTAATAATTATGTTTGTATGGGTTGCATTGGCCTATTTGTATGTTTCTTCTTGGTTTTTTTCGTGCTGTCATTCATAGCCAATGTTTGAACATTAAAACCAGTGGCTTACTAATGTTAACTCTAAGTGAACCCAAAGTCTTGTTGAATGACCTCATCAATAGAAATAACTTAGTTGAATGTTATCCGGTCATATGTGGTCGTGACAAGCAATGGCTTTACATATGTTTCCAGTATGATGGCGACTATGATGAATTCCATACTACTCCAGTCGACGTTAGAGAAGTTGGGTGTTCAGGCACGTGTGCAATCTGTCTTATGTATGCCAGAGGTTTCTGAACCATACAACAGACAACGGGCAATCCGGCATCTTGAAAAAGGGAGAGTTGTAATATTTGGTGGTATTGGTGCTGGCACAGGAAATCCACTCTTCTCCACTGACACAGCTGCAGCTCTTAGAGCCTCAGAAAGTATGTTCCATGATATTTGTCATCCATCAAAGTGACTTGGAGAAGTTCTATATATTTGTTTCTCCTGGATATGAGTTGATGGTTTGTTGTTCTCCTGTAGTTCATGCTGACGCAGTTGTTAAAGGAACCAGTTTACATGGTATCTATGAATGCGACTCCATCAGCAATGTCGGGTATGAGCACATTTCCTTCAGGGAGTTGGCTTCTAGAGGTCCATCTCCAATGGACATGATGGCTACGACATTCTGTGAAGAGAATGGGATTCCAGGTTGGTCTTCTTTCTTTTGTACACCTGCTTTCTCGACATGTTATTTTTGTTCAACTAGTAATCTGGTTCACAGCAATGGCTACACTGCGCATCCACAGTTATGGTAGTCGAGTTGAGTTGAACATTTGAATTATGATAGTCTAGATGTGTTGAACACTGCGCACCAACAGTGATGGTAGTCTAGTTGAACATTTGAATTATCTTGTTCTTTTGTTCTACATTCGTTTTACCATTTAGGATACGTCCAAATGATATACACCCATGCAGATATAGGTATCTACTAGTAGTTGGAGAATGGAGTGTCTTGCAGATGGGCAGTTTAAAATTTGTACTAAAAGTGTTGTAGCTTCATGTTTGTTTCTAAATTGTAAGTTTGAGAAACAGTATAAGCAATGAATCTTTGTCTACATACAGGCGATCCAACTTTCAGTTAAGAGTTTAAACTAGCATGAACATTGAAGTTTACAAAAACTTTGTTGGAAAATGGACCATGTAAGGAAAAGAAGGTTGCATCTTTGTTATGTATTTGCTTAAGAAACCCAAGTTGTTTCTTGGTAAATGTTCTTAACCCCTAACTAAATACCAAATGTGAATATGAAGAGAAGTATGTTTAGGTATAGTTTTTAGCCAAAACAAATTCGATTTATTTACCTACCTCATTGTGATTTGATACGTGGTAAGCTAAATTGGACCTAAATGACTAGCCAAAATATCATCCAACTGTCTTGGTTTTTATTCATATTGATTTTTAAGAATTTATTTCTTTCATGTTGTTTTCCATCATTACTGTTGGCTGTTGATTTTTCATTTGATTTTCCAACTTTCTGTTACTTTTTGGCACGGTTTTCACTGCTTCAGTCTTATTCGGGGCCTATAATGGTTTGTCTCTATGTTTCATCAACTTTCTTCTTTCTTTTTCTGTTGACTTTTGGTTTTCCTTTTTGCTAAATCAGGAACATACAGTGTTCATAGTAGAACTATCATTAATGAAAAATTATTTTTCTTCTAGAAGTAAGGAAACAAAGGTCAACATATCTCGAAGACAAACTGGAGCTAGTAATTGTGTAATATATAATAAATTTCCATAATATGGGGCTGCGTTTGCCGTTTGCCGTTTGCCGTTTGCATGCAATCTAGGAGGTCTATATAGAAGTTGGAGGAGGATCGTGTGAGAATAGGAGCTAAGGTGAGAAGCGTAAGACGGGATTTGGACCCTTGATCACTTTTAATCTCACTCCATGAGTTGTGCTTCTCACGGGAACTGATCTGGTGCATCTCGTTACTGTTGATCTTCAATTCAGATTGATCCAAGGGTGGAGATCCCTTCTTACCCTTCTCACCATAACTTACATTCTCACCGGAACCCAACTCATTTAGATGCTGTGTTTTCTTTAATAGCCAGCATGTTAAACTATATACACCAAGGTCCATCTTAGCCTGATGATAGTGTTCTATTAAGGAACTTCTAATAAAACGCTTTTGTTTCAATCAAAACTTGATTCAAGTTGCATTTTTCTGACAGTTGTGATCTTTAATCTTCACGAGCCTGGAAATATATCAAGAGCACTGTCCGGGGAACATATTGGTACGCTAATCGATCAAACGGGAATAATTTGCTAATTATTGATGTGGCCCTACACCCTATCAGGTTCAACGACATTGAAGTCCATCAGGTACCACTCCATTCACCTGCTACATTTACTCAATGCACACCATGCCACTGATTTCACCTGCTGGTTTCTGTTAGAAGGAATGATTTTTGGCAACTGGCGATATGGTGATGGTTTTTGACCTAGTCGCTGTACCTTAACTGTTATAGTTGTGTAAATTGTCTAGATGTAGAGGTCTTAGATGGTGTGTTGTAGCATTGAGGTCTTAGATAGTGTGTTGCACTGTCTTGCTTTTTTTATAGGGAATGTAATGGAACACTAGATGAATGTAATTGTGAGGGAACAAATTTGCCCGCCATTGCGTTTTACGTTCCCGACTTTCTTCGTACCGTTTTACTGGTCGGAGGACGAGAGGTTATGCGTTCAAGTCTAACAAGAGAGTTTGCTACGGTTCACGTATATCCAAATACTATATAAAGTTTGTGTGTATGTATATATATATATATATATAGAGAGAGAGAGAGAGAGAGAGAGAGAGAAAGAGGAGCAATCAAATGAAAACCACTCCAATTTGTAAAAACCGTAAAAACTACTCTCATCCATCGTTAATCTTATGAATTTTTTTTCATGAAATTGTTAATCTTGTGAAATTGTTTCATATAATACTTTTTTGATGAAGTTGTTTCATATGTGGTTATGAAATTGTTTCATATACTACTTAATGAAATTTTAATGAAACTGTTTCATGTATTTCTCTAAAATTAAAATAATAAAGATGATAATTTCCATGATTAACACCCTCCACAATAAAAATGGTTAATCAACCTCTCATAATTACAAAAAAATGAACAAGATGAAAAATTATGATTGGTTGAATGAGGTTTTCACGGTTTTTACAAATTGAGTGGTTTTTATTTGAACCCACCCTTATATATATTCATGTCTGAAAAAAGGATTAGGATTGGTTAGCGTGTTGGTTAGTTCTTGAGGGTGCGTTTGGTACACATACGGGATTAGACGATGGGACGGGATGGACGAGGGAGGCAGCCGGTGGAAGAATCGTGCAAGGTTTTAGAATTTTATTTTGACATCGGTAACTTAGTAATTTACCTTTCTTTTATGATACCCCTTATTTTTGTTCCACCTATTTTGTTTGGACAAAAAATGCATTGTTGTCCAACTCAATTATGTCATGTCTCGGTCTTAATGTCGCATCAAACATGAAACAATAAATTTTCGTCTATTTTCTGTCTCGTAAAGGCCCTGATACCAAATGCATTTCGTCAATTTCTAAAGACACCTGTTTTTATATAGACTTATTAGCAAGAGATGAATTTATGGGTCGTTTAACGACGCTAACTAGGTAAAAACTTATTGGTTAAAATTCTCAGTCATCACATCATGATGGTATAATAAGATCGATTGTTGGTATGGGTCTCTTACTAGATAAGAGCCATGGGTAAGGGGTTGTTTGTTACCTCTTAATAGTTTCATTAAGAGGCAACATCTGAACCGTTAAGAGGTGAATCTTGTTTGGCAAAAAAAAGTGTGCCTCTTAATAGTTTTAAAATCCTCTAAATGATTTTGTATCATGGATCTCTCTTAACCATTAAGAGTCCTAATTTCATTATACATAATTACTAAACAATTATATTTTATTTTACACTATATCATGAGAGTCTCTTAATCATTCAGCAATTGCCAATTAAGTGAATTGTATTTGATTATTAATGCACCCGATTCCTTTTCTTTTAGAGGAATTTATCAATTTTAACATTTTATTATTTCGTGTTTAGTATATTATTTAGTCACCCACGCCTCCTCATAGCAACCCTAATTACTCATATAACTCGGTAACTCCTTGTCTCCTCCTATCCTCAATGCACGCCTCCACAATCCATACCTCCACCGTTCGATGAGCACACGGTCCAACCTCTACATGAGTACATGACCATGTGAATCTTAATCGATCGTCAGTACTGTACCATGTTAACGAATTTGTAACTTCAATTTTTGAGATGGTACAAAATCGTATCGACCCAAAAAAGTTGGTACAAATTAAGTTAGTACCAAATAGAGTTGGTTGGTACACGACATAAACAATTGTGTACCAATTATAGTTGTTTGGTACACGGTATAAATAATTATGTACCAATTATAGTTGGTTGTTACACGGTATTGAGAAAAAAACATGGTACCATACCATGTTCGCCCCTAATAGAAAGTCACTCGATCAAATTTAAACCAATCAATCCAATTAGAACCGACTGACCAATATTGGATATCCAATTGTAATTAGATCGAATTGGATTTAAAATTTCAACATCTAAATTAGACCGATCGATTCTTAGATAACAGTTCAGAATCTAATAAAACCGAAATGAACCAATTTAATTACCCATTCAATTATTAACAATATATATACCGTCATTTTACGTTATTAATTATATATTAATTTCTATAGGCACGATTCAATATATATTAATTTTGTGAAAACAACGTTGCATCTTTCTTAATTTATTTAATTTGTATTGAATAAATGACATGAATATTTTTTATTGATTATCAGTTAAGAATCGACTTATAGAAGACTTTTTAAGGATGACGCAACCTTTTTTAATAAATATTTTTGTGGTCCCGGGAAGGCATAAAATTTGATACAAATTTGGTGGTGTTTGAAATTGCTTATAAAAACAACTTATTGACTTATTTCGGTATGACATCGGTAATAAGCATTTTTGAGTGTTTGGATAAACAACCTATACTGTAACGCCCCCAGAACCCCGTAGCAATGATATTGTCCGCTTTGACTAACCTGCCCGCTCAACCACAAAGCAGTAGTCGCACGGTTTTGTTTYTGGCAGCCGCACAACGCAAGCCCCAAAACCGGTCATGCTAGGATGAGGTATCCACACCCTTATAAGGAGTGCTTAGTTCTCCTCACCAACCGATGTGGGACGGGATGTTACATATACCGGTGCCAAACCGATAATAAGAGGTTTTTGAATAAGTTAAACCATTCTAACTTATAATAAGTTCGCAATCCCAAATACCCCTTAATGATATCATGATTGCTTTTAGATTACATTGTTTTTTTTTTAAGGTGAGGATATATGCACGACTCCCTATTGGTAAAGTGCACCCCTCCTATTATTTAGGTCAAAGTGAATTAATAAATGTGTTTTTCATTAATTGTTTTTCAAAAATTTATGTGCTATAAATTTATGTTTTATAACTTTTTTTCAACATTGTTTCCTAATTTTATTTTTCTAAATTTATGTTTTATAATAAATTTTTGCAAACTAACTATCTATAAATTAATTTAAATAACTATAAACTTATTTTTTATTTTTATAATTGTATTGTTAACGTTTTAATTAATTAATAATTTATATATGTATTTTTTTAAAATAAATATTTAAAGCTACAAAGATATAATAATTTAATACAAAAAAGATCATCAACATAAGTTAATTGATAAATCAACAAATAACGTACAAAAAGTCTGAAAATATTACAACTCAATCAAGTGAAATAAATTTCATAGTACGATTACTAGATAACAGTTGCTCGTACTTATTTATTCGGGTCATGTACGGAGCAGCCAATGCGGTTATGCAATCATATTTGAAACGAAACCAATTTGGCATGATAGAAGGCATTGGGTATCCTTCTGCCAAATTTTTTTTTACGTAATGATTATCGTTAACGTATCCAATTATAAAATCAAAATGTTCATACCACGGCGGGGACTAGATCGAAGTGGAAAGAGTGTCAGGATACCTATAGTTGTTAAAGAATGTAGTATCACAGTGCATCTTGAAGCAATCAACAAACTCGTTTCAAAAACATCCATCCAATGTTCATTTGGTGCAAATGAGTCCAGCTCAAAGAAATTCAAGTAGTTATAAAGTTGATACCGTAGTTCAATGCCATACACATCGAAATATTTTGTTTTGTACATGTTTAACTCTTCCATTAAATCATATCGAATAGATGGCCATTCATCTTCGTGGCGACCGAGACAAACAACTATCGTTCGAAATCCACAGTTTCCATCGCCTTTTACATCTTGTACCTGTGTGATATAAAAATGAAAATTATTTCAAAATTGTTTAATACATTGAAATAAAAAAAAATTAACTTGCAAACTACGTTACGTACCTGCACGATGTACGGATGGAAAATACTTGGAAATTGATTAATGTATGAATGTGCATAATTTTTTTGGTTGAAGTATGAACTATGTCTTATTTGTTCATTGTTCACCAAAATATCAAACTCCACAAATGCTGATGCGTCTGGACAACTATGTCTATGAGGTTCCTGAGTTGGTGGGTCGACATTGAAAATCGTTTTTCCAACTAGCCATTAACAAGTTCGAAATCGTAAAGAGATAATGTTGAAATGGTTACTTGTGAATGAAAATACAAATTCCACTTCCCTTTTTATGGATTATTTTCTGAATTTTAAAGTTGCAAAAGGATTAACGATATATATTTTTTGAAAATATAAATAAAATAAAAATTAATAATTTGCATATGAGGGGCTGTTTGTTTCCCTCTTAATGGTGACATTAAGAGGGAGCCTCTTAATCGCTCAGAGGTTGGTAGTGTTTGGCAAAAAAAAATGCCTCTTAATGGTTACAATCCTCCTCTTAACCATTTTGCATCTAATGGGCAGCCTAATGGTTCAGAGGTTGTTTTTTCCAGAACTACCCTTCCCCCCATCGAGTTCACGTCGCCTTCACGTCGCCTTCTCCGGTCACCTCCACCGTCTCCGGTCACCTCCACCGTCTCCATCGCCGGTCGCCTCCACCAGTGATGCAACTAGAATCAACACCGATCGGCAAGGGCG